GCATGGCTTTGTTTGGAAAATGACCTGAAAACACAAGTATGTGGCAGTGGTAAAGTTAATAGTCAGTTGCTAAGTTAACATGTGTTGAGCAGATGGATCAGGTATTGAAAAATACTGGTTAATTTTAAGGACATAATTAAAGATGAAATAATTAGGTTCTCCATCCGGCACACAGTTATCCTTACATTCATGTTGCTGGTACAATGGATTGGCTTTTCTTAACCACACCAGTCCAAGAAATAGTAAGAGCGGCCAGAAGATCTCCACCAGGAGGCGCACCTGCAGAAAAGAGAAATGTTTTAAAGATGGAATAAGACACAAGAAAGAAAGAAAACAGATAAAGCACACTGGACTTGGCTTGAATACATTAAAAACTCTGGTATCTTGTAGTTTTGTTATACCTTTTGTCTCTTGCGCAGAGTCCAGTTTTTCCACAACAACAGGTGGATCTGAGAGCCTGTCTTCATTACTCTGTGGCTCAATCCCTAGAGGGGGTCATCAGACTGGGGGCAGACCTATGCAAATATATGTCCATGATTACAAACAACTTTTGCAGAGATTGCACAAAATTACATCTCAAAAAGTTCCAAAATTCCAGAAAAATCTTCATGACAATAGTCTTAGGGCTGATTTCTGGCCCTTTTGTTGTTAGGAAGAGTCTACAGTGTTCATTATTCTAAGAAAAACGTAGCTTAATGGTTCATTATGTAAACAGTAGGGAGATTATCTAAAGAGAACAATAAGCTTTTCATTTTGAAAGAGCTAGAATAGTTCTTTGTTTTAATTGTACTGTAAAATGTAAAATTTAAGTAGTGTTAAAACACATTTTTATGCTATTAATTTTGTAGAAACATATCTATACTAAGTATTTTATTTTAAAATGTTTAACAGGTTACAGTTACACTGAGGAGGTAGGGAACACAAACACAGGGCCAGTACTGAGCTGTGTCCTACATTTAAATCTCCTCATTGTGTCACTCACCTCTTATATTCACCACAATAATACAGATGACAGGACTTCCTTTAGCAAAGAACAGAAGAACACACCAGAATGAATAGTTGTAGCCGTAATACTACTACTACTACTACTACAACTACTAATAAAACAAAAGTGAGAACAATCAACAGTTTTTTATTTACGTATCTGTTTCATTAGGTTTTCCAGAATTGCTTTTTTAAACTTACCTTTCATAGAGTGATACTTCTGGTCGACCACATCTAGACAAAGACAGAGAAACCAGCTCTACCAGTGGAAAACATTAGGAGACTTAGAAAAGGTGCATGTGGCTGTGGACGCACACTCTGCCCTGTGCCTCCAGGTCAGCAGCTCTCCTAATCTGATTGCTGTAATCTCCAGGCTAAACATGGGCAGGCAGAAAAAAGACAACAGTCATCCATTCTGGGGGCAAGAAAATAACAAAAATGTACAGGATTCTACAGTTTAATGTGAAGGAATTTTCAGGTATACCTTTGTAGTGTGAGGAGATGGGATGAGGGAGTGGGTTTGGTCTCATCCACGATCATAGATTTCCATCAGAGTAAGGGTTAAAGCTAATTATATTGTCACAGACAGAGAGACGGGACCGGGGGTGGGGGGTAGCCTCCCGGGCTCAGCAGGTCTCCAAGGTTGAACAGGAGACGTGGGTACCTGGGTGTGTGAGTAAAACCATTTAAAACCAAATTATGCTGGAGTACAGTGTTAAAATGACTTTTCAAGAGTATTCTTAATTCTCTCAGAGGAATGACCCAAATACTACAGTGATGAATGCTGGACACACAGAAGTACTATTTTTTTTCAGATTAAGGAATATTTGGGACTTGAACTTAACAATCAATGCCATCCAAAACATTTGAAAATATAATTACTGTGTGACCCAATATATGTATATTTAAGTATTTATTTATATAGGACCACTCATAAATCCCTCATTTGGTTTTTTAAATTATGTCATCAATTGTAATCTTCACCAGAAGTTTATTTTAATCGTTTTAATCATTTATTCATCGTCTAATTTTATGTGGTCACGTATAAAAAAGTATCTAATATTTAGGTTCGTTAACGTTTAAATTACACTGACAAATTACATAAATTCATAAGTTCAACGTTTACTCACAGATAGGAGACAGTAAATGGAGCTAATGCTAAGTGTCACTGACTGAGGACCTCGAGTAGATTACAATTATATAATAACTGTCTGACGTGAAAAACAAACAAAAAAGCAAAAAGTTGTTACATACCGACAGTATAACGTAGCGAGAGGTGAACATCGTGTAATTTGTCACACGCGTAATAGCAAATGACACGCTAACATTTAATTCAACGATTTAATTTAAATTTCCAACCAACTACATTTTACACTAGAAAAACACTGACGTAATTTAATCGAGTTATTGTGTATGTACCTTTACTACCTCGAACAGTAATGACGTCATTGTCCCACAGGAAGTGAAACAAATTGGATGTCATACCTCCTTTCACCGCAATTGTTTTATGTCAGGCTTTTGCTGTTGGCAAGCCGTCAACCATGACACTCACCCGCTGCAACTATGGTCAAATTGTCGCTTTATCGATAAAAGCGTCTGTTAAATATATTGTGATGTAATGTAATGTAAGGCGACTGCTTTATATCAACTATCTTTACAGGTCAGCTGATGTTATTACATGTCTTCACAGCCTAAACAACTATTTTAATTTTTTTAAAACACACACTTGGCAGAAGCCAAATTAACAATTGATGTATTTTTTTTAATTTGCAGCAAGAACTGTTGCAGGTCTTTTTTCTTGTATAATTACAATACCACAAAAAGACACAAAAAATAAATTGCTGTGACAATCATGCAGTATGTATGGATGAATATAAAAACTGTAAACACATACATAGGGCTTACACATTGAAAAAGACAATGTACCAATCATAGACTAGAAGGATAGACTGCTCAATTCTTTTGCATTCTTTTTTTAAATGACAATTTTCTATTCCTTTTATAATAAAATACCACATTTAAAAAAAAGAAATGATAGAAAATGACTACATTACATTTTTAACCTGTTTAAGTGCATTGTGTGATTACAAAAAATATGACAAATTAAAACAAGGCTTCGTCTTTGTAACACAGAGAACCTTGACATTAAAATAAACAAAAAAATATATTTATATTTTTTAATTAGACACTGACTAATGAGGCAGGCTCCTCCCTTTTTGTACTGGCTTGTTTTAAACACTCAAACCATCCTGACTGACACAACGACTGTAACATGTAAATATATATTAGTAATAACACTTTTATGGTTCATTTTCACAGACCTCTTACTTTCCTCCTCATAAAAACACTTGTCCCAGCACACCCCATGGTGTATATGGTACATATATATTTACATACGGTATACGATGCGTTTAATATTTGGGCATCAGACAAAATGAGCCTCTCTGTGTTCGAGCTCCTGCATTCGCCGAGGCCGCAGTCTTTGGTAGAGAGGTTTGGTCTCGCAGGGATTGAGGTCGTTGGGGCTGCTTGACGACGGTGACTGAGAGGGAGAAAGGGTTGCAGAGGTCAGGAACCCAGAGTCAGTGGAGTCTTGGGTCTGTAGCTGTGTCTGTGGTGGGCTTGTAAGAGCAGGGGATGAGTTCACAACCTGACTAGAGGTGATGGGGAGGACTGCAGAGGTGGTGGTGGTTGTTGCTGTTGTGGTGGTGACGGTGGTAGTCCAGTTTGTAAGCGTCCTAGTTTTGTTTAAAGAAGCAGGGGGTCTGTAGAAAGTTCCGGGGGGAGGATGCAGAGTCCTTGGTGCCCTGAGTGTTAGTGGAAGATATTCCGAGCTGCTGGCCTCACAGGCTGAACCGTCTGTGTTGGTTTCCCTTTTAGAAGTCCACACAAGTTTCATGGGTGCCATTTGGGGACTGGTGGACAATGCTGTGGTCAAGCTGGTTGTTGTTGAGGCCACAGAGTCAGCGGTTAATGTTGGGTGGAGAGGGACAGGCATTGTTGCCTTTATTGGTTGAACTGCAGAGTTGGCCACTATCATAGCAGTCCTGGGTGTGACATCATAATGCTTGTACTTCTTGTCCCACGTTCGCCTCTGCATTGTCTGTGTGTCGATGAAAGGTGTGATGTAATAGGCGCTCACCCTGGACGAGCCGCCTGCTCGTGTCTTTTCCATCTCCGGGATCTCCTGTATGGTTTCAGCCGCGCTGTCTCGCTCAGAAGTGGACGTGTCACTAGCGGCACCATTTCGAAAATTCCTCTCGTTAATCTGAGCCGGAGTGGGGAGACGTTCTAGTGGCATGCTGATTGGTCGGTACACCTGTCTCGGGCCTTTGGGACGCAGATGGACCTTTGGTGGTGCATTAGAAGTAGTTGTACTTGTGGAGTTGCTGGTGACGTTAGGATGGATTAAGTGTGTTCTCTGGTCGTCTCCAACATTTGCTGTCTGGACCCCGTTGTGTTGGGATGAGACATCTGTTTTGTCTGTTCCCGGCTTCACCTCCTGTACTTCACCCAGGATGTGCGATGACGGGATCACTGAGGAGTATCTCTTGTACACTTTGGCACTCTGCAAGAATAGAATTAAGAGGTGGTTTGGAATGTTTAGGAATGGTGATTTATCCAAACTAATCACGATTAATCATTATTAATACGTACCCTGTAATACCCTGTGTTTAATAAGACAAAATTGCTTTTATCGCGTCATGGCCCTAGTAATTTCCCGAGACATGATTAATGTAACACGTTTTATGGACAGCACACTGATCTCAAGCCAGTTTTCAGGCTAAAGTGAGTTTCAAATTCCTGTAACTAATACAATAAGACAGGATGGAGCAGTCAAAACAAGACAATACCAGACCTGAGTCATGGCTCACCTCTTTGATGTCCATCAGGGAGGTGGAATTTCTACTGAGCCTCTGAACCTTCTCCTGTGGCGTGAGTCTGGGAGACCCCAGGCCAGCGGAACCTGACGAAGGTGATGAATGAAACACTGTCGGGAAGTAACGAATCAGCAGCTCAACCATCAGGGCCTGGTATGGATAGTCGACCAGTGAGGATAGAGACACCTCTGCGTCTGTCTGCCGCGGCTTCACCAGTGTGGGGCCAAAGATGATTCCCAGATTACTGGCAGTCATTTTATTCTCTTCTGCCTGCTCCGAAACTCTATCACAGAGAGAAATATTTAGTTTAAAAACTTTTATTTCTTTCTGTAATATGTGTTGAGTTAGTTTTCTTTTCTCTACGCTACTCTGAGAAAAGTATATTTAAAAATATTGTAACAAAAGACTTCCATGTAGACAGTCCACAACATTGACAAAATCCTTGTTATTGAACAGTCAACACTGATTTCAATACAAACGAATTTTCAATCAAATGTGTTAATTGTGTTGTTATTTTTTTTATATTTTTATTAGACATGAAAACAGGAATTTCCTTGCTGAACTTCCTCCCTGCATTAAGGAAGTTTTCATTCCATTGTGCGTCCTGAGGAAGTTGACATGTTTGTTCAGAAAATTAAAGGCATCAGGCAAGCTGACAAGCTCTTGGTTTTAAACCTCTTACCTACGCAGATGAGCTATGAGGTGCCGCAGCGTCCTGTAGTTGTTCGTGGGTAGCTGGTAGAGCAGATCTCTGATCCTGTAAATGACCTTGTTGAGCTGTGTGCTCAGGTCACTTTTTTCTCCCGCCTGAGGGACAGGGTGTGTGTCCGCTTCCTCTACAATGACTCTCTGACACTCCTTTGACAGTCCGATAATGTCGGTGTAATATCGATACAGGATCAATGGCTCTGGTAGCTGTAGAAGTTTGTTTTTTTTTCAAAAAAATTGTGAATGTTGGTATAAATAGTTGAAAAATATATAGACACTGCCAGTAAATAAAGCAAAAAAAAAACAAAACGAATTTAATGTGATAATCAACGTTAACACCACGGCTGAGGTGGGCTGGAGATGGCGAGTGACGAGGCAGAAACACTGACCTGTCTCAGGTAGAGTTTGAGGACATTGCTGATGTCATGAGGTGAGAGGTCAGACAGCTCAACCAGGTCCTTCCCATTTTCAAATGCTTGACAGAGCTTCTCAACACGAGATTTGGCACCGTTTACTCGATAAATACCCTGGTGGTATAACAATAGGTATTTTTATTGTCATGCAATTATTCGAGAGATTTAGTACAAAACCACAATGTCAGGCTACCTTGATGTTTAGTGCTCGACCTTCAATCTCAGAGGTACACTTCTTGATGATGAAGGGAACGCCGTCTTTGCTGTTCTTCGCTGCCTGAGCAAAGTCGATCCCAAACAGATGCAGCCTCCCTTGAAGCTTTTTATGGCCACACTGAATTGCAAGTGTCTCCAAACATTTCTTATGGCAAGCCAGAGAGCACTGGAGAGAGACAAGAGAGAACTTCAAACTAAAACAGATGACTAAAACTGCTGAACTGCACTAAAACTTTGATGTTCTCTAACATAAACATGTGACAGATTATAACTCGTAGTAACGTAGACTGTACCTCTTCACACTCGGCTCCATGAAAAACAACCAGACTGTCACACTCCCTGCACTTAGATGGTGCTCGTAGTTTTCTTAGCTTATGGGTTTGAGCAGCTTTGGACATCTGAGCGTTCCGGAAAGGACCGGGAGAACTGGCCGTCTCTGTCACCATCTCAGCCAGACCTAGAGAGTCAGATGAGTGAATGTTAACAAATATTATCCAGTCAGTCTGACAAGACTCACTCAGTCAGTGGACTAGTTTTGGTTTACAGCATCTGAGAAGTCGTCCGTAAACTAAGAGGATGACAGTAGTGAGGTGTGAAAACAAAGTATCAGCTCTTACTGGATAATTAATTCAGGATGTGGACATAAACACATAACTAGCATTATATCGTTCAAAGATAAACACACACACACACACAGGTCTAACCGTTGTGTGAGAGTGACGGAGGCTCTCTCTCATCTAAGTCGTCGGCTGACGACATGGTTCCAGTGGAGGGAGTCCGAGGTAGTCGACGTTTAAAGTCACCTAGACAAATAAAGGAAAGGAGAACAATTAATTTGATCATCTAGTTAATCAACCATTAAGCACTCATTAATACATCATTTAACAAAGTTTTACCATAAAACCTCTGCTGTTCTAGCATTGCAAATTTACTCTGTGTGTCATTCAGTTTCAGCAGAACAGGGAAGTGCAGGGGGAGAAGGTTTCTTTATGGGCTTGACGTAAAATAAGGAAGTAAAACAAAGCTTGTAAAATATAAACCTCTGCATCATGGATGTGGTTATACTGTAGCTTGGCTGGGATTTTTTTTCTATCACAAATATTGTGGTTCATCAAGTGTTTGTTTAAGCAAAGTTGTACAAATACTTTACAATGGTAATGATAATACACACAATTTACAGGAAAGAATTTTGTGCTTTCTCTAGGTTTGTTGTGACACATTTATTACAGACCACTGCAACACTACATCACAGTCCTCCTTAATACTGCGTACCCACTCCAATAATTCATCAGGTTGGTGGATTATCAGGTGGTGTGCAATGTGTGGGTTAAACACAGGAAGGACAACAGGCAGGAAAGTTTTATTTTCCTCTCCTATTCACAGATAAATACTTCAGTCAAATGTTTCTGTATAAAAGAAACTGACACTACCTTCAAATTAGACATATACCAAAAAATAAACAAAAATCATAGTGAAACGACCCATGAGGATGATCAACAGAATAAACAGAACTCAAGTTCATGGAGTACTGAGTTGCAAGTATCGACTGCATCCCTAACTTCCTCCTAACTAAGTGTATTTTCTTGTATATCTACCAGAACGCTATAACAAACCCACAACTTATATAATACTCATACCTGGACTGGCGGTGGGGGAGTCCATGGATCTGGACTCGCTGCTGCCTCCAGCACTCTCTGAGTCACTGCACATCCCCCCCTGGCTGCCCTGGCTGCTGGAGGCCCAGGTTCTTAACGGAGCCTGACTTCTTAACGCTGCACAGAAGAAAGAAATGGAGAAACGAGTCAGAGATCGAAGTATGTGTCAAAACCAACTGTGTGATATTTTTAACAATGAGTGATATTTTCAGAAAGGAACTGTCACGCACATATGCCAGTCCTAGGATGATTAAGCAGCACACCACACGAGCACTTTAGACAACTGTCCCAAACACTTTTTGATGCAGATAAAAATAGTGTTGAATCCCAAAAATGGGTTGTATAAAAAACACAACAATGTCTGCAGACAATGCTAATGTATGAGCTGCAATGTTGTGTACTTTTTCTGGCTTCATGGAAAACCTTTGCACATAAGCACAGTTCCAAGTTAAAGCACAGAACAGAGTCAAAAATGTTCCACAGATCACAATTATCTCTGATCATAATTACAGTGTTAATTGCTTATTGTGCCTGACCTTCTTCACTAAAACCCACAGGTAGAACCTTTACTTACAGAACAAGGCAAGAAAAAACTTTTAAATAAATAAATTAAACGTAATTTCATGAACTTACCAGTTGTATTTGATGACCTGCCTGTTCATGCAGTGTGTTTGTTGAAATAATATTCATTTTGTAAATGTAGGTGTAAAAGATAACAAACAGCAGCTGTGAAAACAAAAGCTGCTCTTGTTTGGCTTCTGATCTCACCACACGTGTGTCTGAGTGAGACGATGACTGACTGGCTGCATTTGTGTAACCGAACCCAACCCGCAGTCGAGAGCTAAGCTGCACTAAGTTTGTGTTATCCTTCTCCTCTATCTTAGTTGCTCTTGTCTAACCTGTTCATAGACACACAGGGTAAATAATTTGAATGAATTAGAGACATGGGGATAAAAATATTTTTTCCGCCCAGCAACAATAAATCAAAAAGAACAATGAATGTAATTAAAAAGAAATCATCAGCATCCCTAAAGCTCCCGAAAACTGAACCTGTACCTTGTATGTCTGTGCTGCTGTTGGACCTCCGTTCGCTAAACTGTGGTCTGTGCATGACGTTGTCCGCTTCATCTCCACTGAGCACGTCGTACGAGGTGATGGACGCCTGTGAGAGGTTGCCATGTGAGGAATGAGTGCTGCCCACTGATCTCTTGTTGAACACAAACCTGTGGAGAGAAACCTGGCACTTAAAGTAACACGCTTCGCATCAACAAGGACACACCTGCAGTATCATTAACAGGACTGTAACTACACCTGTAACCTTAAAAGTTTCCCTCACTTCATTTGGAATCAGTCAAGGGCCCCAGGCCAAAACAACCATTCACACTTTCATTCATACCTGTGGTAAATTTGAAGTGAATTATTACCTAATCCTGCATGTTTTTGACCGTGTGGGGACGTAGCCAGAGAAAACAAACTCTTTCTTCCACATCTGTCTACATTATTTTTTACAAGTCAACAAACAAGCTCTGTTTTCCCCCCAGAAATATTGAGTTGTGACCAAAACCGGCTCAACTCTCACACCCTGCAATCTCTCCTACTCAATTCAGCCAGCGCCACAGATATTTCCTGAGGAAGGGCAACAAACTCCACATACATTCCAACACTCTCTTGCTTTCTCTACCGTGTGCCTTTCTCAGGGCTTTCTCTCTTTATGACTCATTGCTACCTTAACTGAAAATAATCTTGGTTGAGAACAAACACTAAGATATATATATTAAAAAAAGGTTTAACAAAAACAGAAACCAAATATAACCAAATAATCTCGAGCAGTCAGTGGGTGTGGTCTCACCATTTTCCTGTAGCAAATGCAACAATGTTTCTTCTAACAGTGAAAGTATATTGACTACTGTGAATCACACAGTGTGAGAGAGTAGAGACCAGATGAGCTAATCTTTGGCCTCAGTTCAGTCAGTGGTTCTGAGCAGTTTTAAAATCCCAGTCTTTGGTACCTGGCGCTGTCGGACGAGGTGGAGTCAGAGTGCAGGTGCTCTTTAGGCAGATTCTTGGGCAGGTTCCGGACAAACTCAGCATAGCATTCACCGGGCTCGTACAACTTGGCGCTATCACTCAGAGCCTGATAGTGGGCAGGAAAAGACACCATCTGCCCCTGCTGCATCTGACACCAGTTCACTGTCACCTAAAACAGAGGAGAAGAAAGTGAGGATGAGTGAATGAGTCAGTCAGTGTTCTGTGCATAAGTGTGAAACTGAAATAGACCTGAGTCTGATGAGACTGTCTAAGTGTTCTGTTAGTTCTTTACAGTCAAGCATGTTGTTATTTTTTGGGAACAAACGTGTTAAAAACTGTATTCTTTTTACTTACAGCTTTGAGTGTGAGGTCACACTGAAAGACCATTTCCCTGATCTGTGTGAGGATTGTGCTCTTAGCGTTGGCCAGATCCATCCTTCTGACGCCAGCGTCAGCCACACAAATCTGGTACTGGTCCCGAGCCTCCTCCGCCTTACAGTAATAACAGATATCATTATAAGATAGAAAGAAAGCTCTAGACATTATTTGTCAACCCTCAGACCTGCCTACCTTCTGCAGAGCTTCCTCCTCCAGTCTCCTCTTCTTCTCCAGCTGTTTGTTGGCTGCATTGTTAGACAGCTCCTCCTGGGAGCGGTTGGTGGATGAGCGGGCCCTCTGATATTCCTCCCTCCTCTGGGACTTCAGAGCTTGTGCCTTACGCAGGGTGCTATCTCCCTCTTGCTGCCAAAACCACACCATCAACCCGCAACGGTCAATTACAAATATAATCACACTCAGGTCTGTGGACACTCAGCCTGTTATACAACACCTTCAGCCTTGATAGCACACAATTATTATAATGGTTTTAATAACAGTTATAATCATCTAGTTGCATGACATTTGAAGAATGTTAATTGATCCACATACACAACTATTATTTTCATTTTGTCACGTGTCAAGCAATACGACTGTGGGAGAGATGATAGGAAGACACTACACACAAATTCTGTACATACCATTTTCTTTTGTTCCCGCTGCCACTGCTCCTTAATCTCTTTTCTCAGTTTGTCAAGTTCATTCTTGCGAGCCAGAAGAGGCTGAAAAACAAAATGCATTTCTGATGGTCAGGTTGTGCTCACTTGTTTAAGATGATGTCAAGAAATGACTGTTAGTACACGTTTTAGGGAAAAGATTGTCTTTCTTTTTTTAGATCAATGTACACTCACCTATAGGCAACATTCACAAGTCTTATCAGTTGTCTTTTACATGTAATGTAAGGTAACTGGTTCAAATGAACAAAGGAAGTTTACTTATTGCTCTAACCTGTATGTACTTATTGGTCTGAAGAGCCACGGCTGTTTGAATTAGCAGCTGGTTGTATTCCATGTCATTCTTGAATGTGGAAATGTAGATGTCACTGAACGGCATGTAGTCCTTAGAAATGATGAAATGACAACATTATTGACCACAGACATGCATTTAGGAAAACAGCTGTTAAGTTAACAGAATTCATATTTTCTTTACCTGCTGACTGGCCAGATTCTTTGCAGACTCTGCCATTTTGGTGTAACTTTTTGCATATTCAATATCTGGAAATGGAGAAACAGCACATGTTACACTACATGCACAATTGTCCAGAATATAGGTTACTTCTTTCTAGTCGTTTGGTCCTGTGACTTATATTTGAATTTGAAGAAAATCCCTAGTATTTATGGCCACAAGAGGGTATCGTCTACACTCATGACAACTGAACGCTGCTACTGCACCAAAGAACAAAAACAACATGCCATAACAAAATAAGCCAAACTGCAGGTTATGAAGTATGCAGCGCAAAAACAGTAACTGAGAGCAGAAAAGAAAACTAATGGACTAATGTCAACTGATGCTGCGGCTGAGGGTGAAGGCTTACACCCTTGTAAAAAATGCTTCAGTTTGTGATCAAATTTAAATCTTTAAATATTTATGTCTCCCTTCCGATTTCTTAAAAAGTGTTTTAATCGCAGAACACTTCTAAGATTGAACGCCTCACCCAGAGCTATCCTTTTCTCCATCCAGGTCAGAAGGTCTTTGATGTACTTGGACCAGGCCTTGGCGTAGAGCAGGGCCGATTCCACCCCGCTGTCATTCTTCAGCAGGGTCAGGTCAACCTCCTCCTCCCGTGACAGCGGCACATCTGGGCCTGTGGAGTCATCAGAGGAGACATGCATATAACAACACAGCGATTCAAAACACATGGCATTAATACACTGCCACTGGATCGCTGGCTCAGTTCTTTTATTTTGATAGGGGTGACAGAGTTAGCCAAGAGACAGAGTACAGTAAAAAAAGGGAACAAAAAGAGTGTGTGTTTTCAAAAAGAATCCAAACATGGTTCGTTTTTATTGGTTAAACGGTAATTTCTCTAACACAGCTGCTGGTCAGAGGAGTCGGCAGATATCCCTTGTGTTTAATGTTCCATTTGACACTACTGCAAAACAGGCAAGGAATCCAAGATATGTGGACAGAGAGGGAGAAAATGAGCAGCTTGTATGAAAAAAGCAGCAGAAATAACAGGGGTGGAAGCAGAGGTTTAGGGTGGGTCTACCTCAAGAAATCCTTAAGAATCCAAAGCCTATCTGACTCGGCTCGCTCACAAACTCACACCCAGGGCTAAAGAAACCATTTAAGGTTTTGACTGAGCAGTCCCTGACAGCTGTTTAATTTCAGAATAAAAGTTCAATATACAATCACTCGAATGAAACTTACCCACGGGATCATTTTTCACTGAGACATACTCATCAGGATCCACTGAGAGGTCGTCATAAGACTGTAGAAAAATAAAATAAAACGAGACGTGTGATTAAACAGAGCCAAAGTCAGACATCACAAGTGTCTCTGTTGTTGGCACAGCAATTAAAATAGCAAGCTTTGAGGGTTTCTTTAAATAGACCTGGTTTAATTGCTTCATGGGACCAACTCAAAAACTAGTATATTAAAAAAAGCATGCAAGTAAAAAAAAATTTAAAAAAAGTCTCACTCTGCTTCTTCTGGTCTGGGGTATCCCCAACCCTGATCCAGCATCCACATCTCCCATAAGGAAATCAGAAACTCTGTAAATAGGGATACATTTCAAACATACGTTTATAACTAGTTGTGAAACCTTTATTTTGAATCTTAAGGGACTAAAAATGAAATTAAAATCCACTCTGATTCATGCAAGTTACACCAACAGTGTTGAACAGGTAAACAAGCACTGTACTCACACATTGCCAAAGGTGTAGGCTAGAGTGTCTATGGATGAGTGTATTTCACCGAAAATACTTTGCGTGTTTTCTGGGTTCACTTCCTTGTAGTTGATGCCTGTGCAAAGAAAAAAAATTAAATCTTTTATACTCCTTTAATGACGTGACACATATACTTGTGAATAAAAATGAGTTAGAAAAACATTGTAAACACAAAAAATAAAATGATGTAGCTTTAGACACATTATTGTTGATGTAATGAACTCAACCTCTTGAACCCATTCCTAATCAATTGGCTTCTCCAAAGACAAATTTATTACTTTGACAAGAGTGGAATTTAAAACGTTCTTTAGCTACAGCATCAACTTCTCAGAAACAGAATATATATACAATAGTCAAATCAACACCAACACTTTCTGGTGAGAATGCAGTGACAACTCCCACTGCATTCTCCTTTCCGTAATTTTAAACATTCTTTACGTTCCGATTTGAGGGCAAAAACAAAACAATTTGATTTTTTTTAAATATTCTTCTGAGAAAACAGTTTATTCAGCAACGAGACATTTGACACAAGCAGTGAAATCCACATACTTCCTGTCAGCGCCACAACAGGAAACACTCACGCCGCCTGAATTCTGTGACAGCAACATTGCAAACAGCTTCAGCAAAACCTACCTTTTCTCTGCTGTCAACAAGAGTCAGTGTTTGGTAATCCAGACCAGTGAAGCTCAACATTTCTAGTCAGTCGGTGGGAGAAACCCCCCAGCTTGAATCAGTTTGCCCTATTTCTGGGTTTTCGTTAATAAAAGCAAAGTGGGTCCATATCAGGCTTGGTTTCATGGTTGCAAATTTCCAGCCTGTGTTGATGTATATAAAAGCCATGGTGATCTTTGGTTGGGGTGCCAACCCTAAATTCCAGGGTGACCCTTCCCAGAGACATTATGGGAGAGGAGACCGTGTTGAGTGAGCCTCCCTCGCCCTTACTGCTAGCATACAACTCTGCACTGGCTTCCTCCTCAGGACATCCTGTGGATCTGATAACAATGATTCCAGAGCACTGCCCCCACTTGTCACAACTAAAATATGGAAACTACATTATTCAAGTACAGGAGCCATTGTTTTCTCACGGTAATGTCGTAACTAGTACGTGTTAACCCTTCAAATCACAATAGGTGACAGTTTACTAAAGGGTGACAGGGTCATTCGTGGCAGTGATTCCCAAACCTTTTCTGCAGTGCCCTCTTAATGCAGATCGGACTATTGTTTATTGCCTCGCACCTACCCCGACACATTCACAACTACTGCTTCAAAACTACACTGACCTTTATTTAAAAACGCTAATAAAAATATACATATTTAAGCTGAAAGAATTATATACAATGACAAAACTGTGGATATTTCCCATTTTGCTGCAAATAAGATTTATTATGTATAACATTATTCCTACAATAGTGCTGGATTTTCAAATTAAAATTACTTTGTGGGAAAATCCGGAAAAGCTGCTGAAAAGCAGCTTTCTGCACAGATAAGACAAAGAGTTTGGATCTGGTCTGGTCTGGGCCAGTGAGGACTTTTGATCAGATCGTTGATGAGACAAAACCACAGGTGTTGGCTGAGTGACATTATGATAACTGTCTTCTATTCAGACACCAAAAAAATATATTTTACAGATGAGTGAGCTAAACATACTCTTGAGTGTTGTTTTTGTTTCAGTTCCAATTGAAATGAAATTCATGAGAACAGTGTAACTGGATTAACACCAAGACACAAACTGCATTTGAAACTGGTTCGTCAACTACTTGTTTAAAGAAGGAGGGTGCGACGGTAGGAGGGAGGAGGAATGAGAAGCCTCTTTTTTTCTCCCAGTCAATCCTGGCAGTTGTCCAAATGCCCGAGTGTGATGACTAAGTATCAAAGCGCAGCAGAAGTCAAAAGCCAACACACTCCGCAGACAGAGAGGAGCACAGACCTGTTATCACCCAACCCATTCAGATCTCATCTCTGACGTCTCACTGATTCATTCTCCTCTGTAGTCTGTGTGTCAGGGCTCCGCTGCCTCACTGGCCATGTACAGATTGTGTGTCGCTAAGAACAAGCCTGGACATTAAATACAGCAGTGACTTGAGGTGGATTAATTATTTGAACTTGTAGAATACTGACAGGAAATGCATGTTAATGATCTAAATAATAATAATATTTTTAAATAAGTTAATTCCTGAAATACTGAAACATCTAAATAATAATAATATTTTTAAATAACAAGTTAATTCCTGAAATACTGAAACGGGCATTGAAATAGGTAATTAGTGTTAAATTCTAAATCACCGATCATCAACTTGTGGCCCACGGGCCAAATCCGGCCCATCGAACCATAGTTAACTTGATTCCAAAATAAACACCAAATAAAAAGGACCTGAAACTCTTAACTATATAGAACCAGAAAAACGTGGATGAATGAGTGAGAGCCATATATATAAGTAGCATTAACCATTTACCCCGGTGTTAACTACTGTGTTAATACACATAACATGGTCTGAGTCCAATCAGCTAAGGCTCCATCCAGATATTGTATAGACAAGTCTTCAAGCTATCTCCTGTCAAATCTCACTCTACCAGTCCATATGTAAATACACGTGTACAGCAGAGCTGTTTGCAAAGACAACACGTGTCTTCCACTTGAACTGTGTGTGCAGCGGTGCCTGCTGTATGTGGTGTAGAAAGTGTGTCAGAAATGAAAAAAAAAAAAACAAACATCAATGTTGAAGGCTATGGTTTCAGTCTGAGGCCTAGAAAAAAAAAACACAGCAAGTCTCTGCTGCATTTAGAAACCAGCCTGGTCTGAAACAGTTCTCTGTAAAATGAAACACATTTCTTTGCTGACTTAAAACGACCTCTCAAGCGTGCAGCAAAAAAAAAAAAAAAAAAAAAAGAGTAAGGAGCGAGGGCTGGTGGAATGAATCACAGGGTTGGAGAGAGAGAATTCTGGAAACATTTCAACAATTTTACAAAATCTGGTCGTGCTGCCATCAGATGTGAGAGCCAAAAACAAAAGAATTTACTGATCGGAAATGTTTAAAAATATTTTTGGTTTATGGTGAAACTCGAGCTTGATGTTGACTGCTATTTTTCATTGGAGCTCATTTACAGTGTGATAGAAAAAAGTTTTTAATGTGTACTAGACTTGGCACATTGGTAATGCTGACTAAAACACTCACAAACAGCTGTTTTCTAACAAAGCTGAACACTATTGTTGACATCATCACCTGAACAAATGCTGCCTGGAATGTACAGCAGTTGTATGTTAACCTCAGTAGTCCCAGTTCACTTGATGTCAGCCAGAGGGCCCCAACCTTCACAGCAATATGGAATGCAAATTACAGGCTTGTCATCTCCAATGAAGGGATTTAGGTTGAAATGACCCTGACAGTATATCATACTTTCTGCAGCTCTACTGGTGTGTTGAGTTTTTGTTTGTATTCACTCACGGGATGAAAAGTTACCAGTAAAGTATGAGTTACTTCCTACACTTCCTTGACAGACTGACGTTGACCCTTCGGTTTGAACCAGTGACACAACATTTAGACAAAAACATTTGATCTCCATCTGGGCACCTCTCTATTGTTTATCTGCATGTCCCTGTTGAGGATTTATTACTCACCTTTCACCTTTGCTATGACCGTGCCGGCAGCTCCCAGGATGTCTGATGAATTGAGGGTCTGATGTTTACCGATGACCGCCTTGAGGACGCGGAGTAACTCTGACAGACGCTCCTGTACGACCTTCTGGAGATCTTCCATGTTTTCTAGAGCAAACAAAGAATACGAAATGTGACGAAGGCTACAGTGGTACAACAACAACAAAGGTTTAATTAAGAGTGACAGCCTGCTCCTAAGGGTACTACACTGTCATACAGTAGACAGCCATTTCAGTCATGCTTAAATATCAGATACAGACTTGTCCACGTCATACTCGTTCTTTGCATTCTTTTGTCATTGCCACATACTACTTGAAAAAAAAAAAGTGTCATTTTTAATTACGCTGTCATCTGGTGTCAAAACTAAACCATTCGCTACAGGGCAAATAAAAACAGCAAACGCTGTGTACGTTTGTAGTTTGTTAGGTTGTAATAATTTATGCACATCCAATATAGATGACAAAGGCGATGATGGTGGTTGAGACACAGTGAAAAAGACAGAACTGTGAAAATGCTGTGGTGCAACTTTCTGTGGTGCTCTTTCCACTTCCTCCAGGCATAGCGGCAACAAACACAACAGTAAAGACACGTACCATAGGCCTGTTTATGCCTGACTGTCTTTACTGAAATGCTTTCATTCTCATCTAATTGATCACATTTGTCAGTTTCATACTTCACATGAAAAAGCATTTTAAATTAAAGTAAATTATTTCCAAATCTCTAGTCGAAACAAAATTTCTAGATACATCGCCAACTGAGCAGACAGCTTTTTTGAAGTCTGTAAGATTATCTACGATGCAATTAAAATAAATGGTACACCAATAAAAAGGCAATCTAAGCAACAAAAGGTAGAAACACTTACAGTCTGACACGCACAGTCAGTATTACACCGTCAAGTATGCCGCTCCTACAGTGATCGGTTACAGAGAGTGCAAGTGAAGACGGCATGAAAGATTTGTCAATTTTTTTCAGAGCGAGCTTTCAGGCGACGGTGACTGAAGACAGAAAGAATTCACGAAATGCCTTCATGTTGCTCGTCTATCCTTAGCCTTTTGACCATATCACATTCTATCTGTTGTTCTTACATAAATGGCACGTCTGTCTCGTTCAAACCGGGCAAAACTCTAGTCTGGTCTACCACCATTTCACTGCAATTAATAAAACAAAAGTATTTTTGGCAAAGCAATGATGAGAACAAAGGACATAAAATAATTAAATTAATTTAAAAAAAAGAACACAAGGAGTTTTCTTTTTTTTAGGCTGACAATCAACCAAAAAAATATGATGAAATTGCTGCTGCAGAGGAAGCAACGACTGGAAGCAAAAGACAGACTTTGTCTGTTTTTTATCAGTGTCGCTGCAGCAGAAAAGCAGGGAGTGAGATGAAAGACTCAACTCTACAGAAGACGAAATGTAATTACAGGAGGATGGGGAATGAAAGCATGGGTGTGCTACTTCTTTTAACTATTAGTACAATTTATTACGTCTCCCACAGTTAACACAATAACACCAACTAAACCAAAAATATGTTAAATGTCAAGGACTTTCTGTGATTTGACCTAATGTAGGTTAAAGAATATGTATGCAGTTAAAACACAGAGAATTCAAACTGCTCTCAGCCAGAACTGTCAACATTGCATTCAACTATGGACAATCTATCATTCAATTGAGATGCGTATGATACACATCAGATTGAACTGGTACAGAAAACAATCATGGTCTCCTATTGTATATCGTCGATCATCCATCGTTGACACCATTTCCTGTGTTCTTCACACTGCAACACTTACTTTGAAGTTACCTCCCTCCCCACTCAATGGTCTTTCATTAAAACCCCTCCCCTTCCTCTGAACTCTCTTTCTTAGTTGTGGTCTTTGGGGTGCTTCTTGTTACTTCACTGGCGTTTGAAGATTTTCACAAACAAAGTTGAGGATGGTTAGCCTGTTAGCATATTAAAACAGGGCCTGATGAGGTTCACGCAAGAAAAATATTCACTGTGCATAATAATGAGCAGAATCACAAATGCAACAAAGACAAGCATCGTGCATTTCCTTTTCCTCTGCAGAGAAAAGATTTTAATTAAGATTATGCTGTTCTGCAGATAAACAAGTGAGATTCTAATCAGGACAAAAAAAAAGAAAGAAAAAATGGAGGAGGAAAACAATGGCCTGTATCAATCAGATGGTCCTCAGACAGAGGTTAAAGGTCATGTCTACTACTCTTAAAAACTGATGAAAAATGATTTACTAGGTAAGTGAGGAAAAAGTGACAAAAACAAGGTAAGATTTTGGTTTCCAGGTTGGTCATTTAAATTGGGATGAAGATGACGATGATGGTTCTTGCTTAGTGCATATAGTCATTTTGGTCACACCTGTAGAAACAAAAACATTTGTTGAGAAAACTCAGAGAGTTCAGTTTGCATGTATAGACCTGTGGTGCTTGGCTGGACAGAGGGTATCAAGAAGGGTAATTTATGCAGGAATGTAGTTCTGGTTCCCTATAGGGGAAGAATCTTTAAACATATTAAATCACATACATTCTGGGTCACAAAAAAAATATTTTGAATTTTTTTTTTGTTAGCCCACTTTCTCCTTCTCAATGCCCCAATAGTGGACAATGTCTCAGAGCTGCATGACCAAGACCATTCCCCAAAACAACTGTTGTTTACCTTCAGTACTGACTGCTGTAAAACAGGGCTGGTGAACCACATTTTGTTTGTATGTTCTCTTCCAATGAGATTATGCGAAATGATCCATTACCCCTGATTGCTCTCCTTGGCACGATAATAGTGATTACATCCTGTCATGTGGTTGGTGCAGCATTATTTTCAATTCTTGTGGTGTGTGCATATCTGAGGACAGATCCAAGATAATCTGCTTCTGAGTTCTGAGTTCCTCCTCCTCTGTGTGGTGCTAATTGGTTTCCTAAGCAATTATGGCTTTAACCTGCTGAAGTCGTAGCCCAGCTTTAGTCGAAGAAAGTCACTTATACAACCAGCATTACTTTTCTTCATATGTGAATTCTTCTTCATTGAGAGTAGTGAATGTACTTTCCTTTACGTACATTCGAAAAGTCCTCTCTATTTTATTTTTATGTTTTTTTCACCAATATCTGTGATTGGCTAGGAGAAATATTCACTCAGCATGAAGGTATTCAAGCGACTCATTCAGATAAATCCACAGTTTTTCTCTCAGGTTGTTGGCGGGAGATGCCACTGTTAACAAGTGGTGACTCAGCCATTACAGAACACAGACAAAAATATGTCCTGTTTAAATTAACATTTCGTGTGGGTGGCAGGGAGGTCCCATTGTCCCATCACAATGTTCATTGTGTGTCCAGCTCAGAGAAAGACCACCTTAATCCCAATCGTCAGGTGGTCTCACAGAGGTTACGCTTCTGCCCCCCACCTCATGCCCCCTCACCCCGTCCCACTGATAACAGCAGGCAATCAACTGGCCTGCCTGGACACGCAATCTGCTCGACATGAAACAAGCCTCGGCAGCTCTGGTGACACAGTGCTACTTGGGAAACAGCTGCAGGGCCGTACTGAAAAGGCCGGTGTGTCCACATTTTCCCATCAGCTTACCTCCACCTTCACATCTTGAAAAAAAAGGGGAGAGATTTGTTATCATGAAGGCGGATGTTTTTGTGTGGCTACAGTAGTTTAGTGACAGCACATGATCTATGGACGTCATTGACAGAAGTCATCACGCGAGGTACATTTTTTACAGCAGTTAGGAAAACAATTTACAAAAATACTAACAGTGCCTTGCATTGCTGGGCTGCCTGGAACCTGAACCTAGACAGGTGGAACTGTTTGGTCAGGATTCCATCTCCAAACACTAATTTTCCCCTCTGTACAAACAAAAGCTGCATTGCTGGGTGCCTGGCTGTCTTTCCCAGGCCTTTCTTGGATATAGAGCAGACTCTAGACATCACACAGACAGTAAACAGCAGGCTGACCATAAACAGCCCCATTCTCTCCGCCTATTAGTGTTCCACACTCTGTGGGGTCTGCACTTCAGAGCCGGGCTAATTCTTTAACACTTCATCACATGTGAGGGGAATTTAGAGCAGGTGCAAAACAAGTCCACGGGGCGATGTTTTAGGAGTCTGCTACATCTAAACATGAGTAAAAGCAGCGCAAAACACAAAGCACACATTATTATAATATTAAAAAAAAACATAATGTTTCAGCACACCAAAAAACACTCACTGGCACAAAAGGGCTTAGAAATGCACGAGTGATTTTGCGAATGATTCAATCTCATTATCAGCTGATGAAATCATCAAAAAAATATTGGGCAAGAGGAATTACTAATTATTTTAATTATGGGAAGCGAGAGCTTGAGTAATCTTTGGGGCATGTATGACATGAAATTCCTGAGGGTCTTCTCACTCAAAACTAAGCAAAGAGCATTTACCCTCCAAAACACTCTCATCAGTCCTAGCTACCCTCTTGCACAGGCCTCATCCACTGTCGTAAATTTTTTAAAGCCTGTCCAAATGCAGGCAAGTGTTTTGCCCCCCGCCCCCGCAAGCAAGAACTCCACTGCGCCAATTCACGCCTGGTCATGACTAGTCTACTACACTAACATCTAGAGACCATAACCGTAAATCCCACGCCGAGAAAACACACCCAACCAGAGGCTGGTACAAAAACAACCTTCGCCATCACAGGGGAAACTAACTGCCCAACAAATCTCTCCTTTCTGCCTCCTAAGAGCTGTAGACCATTAAACCATTATATGTTCAAAATCAGCTTTTGTCTCTCAAATGAAGGCGCCACCCGCAAGTAGCCACTTGAGCTGGCACAGTGACACCGCTGTGAGGCGGGGAGATATTTGGGTCAGCTGTAGCTGCATATAATTTGCACAGTGTGAATCACATTATGCAGGGTAAATAGCCAGGAGACAAGACGTTCAATGAGGTTAATAGTGAAAATTGGCCTGCGATGGCTTAATAAGCACAGACATAAACATTCACATTTCAAATTAGACACTCAAAAAAGGCATGTACGGTGTTGAATAGCCAGAGGTTTTTTTGTGAGGGACTGGATCATTGTTTTTTTTTCTCTGTAAGGCACAAACAAGAGAAATCAGTGACAACTGCAGTTTTTTGTTGCTTTTCAATATTTCTGAAACTGAAAACTTTGTTTTGTTTACATGTAAAAAAACCTATACTGTTAAAGATTCATTTACATATCTTCGACAGCGTAATCTTTACTAAACACCATGTAACACCATGTTAACACAGCATGTACTTTAACATTTTGGGGTTGTAGTCACAGCTTTGTCTTTACTCCAACTGTGTTTTTGGTGTGTGTGTGTGTGTCTTTAAGACCTAGATCTATTCTGAATTTAAAAAAAATACCAGACTTGGAAATATTTTTACTGCTTAGCCTGTGTTACAAGAAGTAATTGTTTTTGTCCTGAAAATGTTGAAAGATGGCACCGAGGTCGTGAATGTTGCTAAAGCACTTGTGTCGTAATTGATGTAGCCACAGAGACTGGTGAAGTGAAACACTAAACCAGATCTTATCTGGAGTGTCACAATGACGCCAGCAGTTTACTCAGTAAAATAAAGATGTTACCCATTATTATAGCAGACATGAAATATTTGTACTTGGGGCATTACAGAATATAAAGTACTCTTGTTTACCTCTGGTCAGTCGAACCATATTGTCTCAGGCTTTACTCTCACTTGTTGCTGAGCATTTGTGGTGTGGATATGGTCACAGAAAGACTCGGGAGGAAAAAACACAAAAGCTTTAGTCTGTGGTTATGTTGCAATTCGCTTTTCTCCTGTCGCTGTCACTGACTCAGTTTTTGTCTTAAAGAGTGTTTTTTTTTCTGATCCTGTCTTTTTGTCTTTTACACCAGAAGTGGTGCAGTGGGTTATTTTTGCCTGCCATGTTGAAGGTTGTGGGTTCAGTTTCACCTAGTCCCCAAGTATCTGGTGCCAAAACACTATGCCCACTACGACTGTGGAGACACTAACAAAGACCAAAAGTGACTCTTCTGCTATAATACCTACGGTGGGTGTGAACACCTCTGGTTAAACCTTTGTAGATTCTGGTTGGGACTACAGAATTGAATAATGTTGCATTTAAGGGCCCTCACTAAAGAAAACAAATAGTTTGAGTTTTTCGTATGCACATGCGCTTCTGACTATTTCTTTAGGACGCCCACACTGAGACTAAATATTCTCCAAACCTCCCTGTGCACTTGTTTGTTCTACGTTGTAGTAACACTGTGCTGTATGTTTCCAACTGTTGTTAAAAAGAGAAAAGACAACAGATGTCCTTGAGCAACAGACAATGCTATGATTTCAAAGTTGCAACAACAACTGCAGAGCTACTGGCAACATTTCTAAACATT